GGATAATTTTTTCTGGTTAGCGTTTTTTAGTGAGTTAGCTTTCTACGGGATAGGGACGCTAACCCCATGCCCAACCCTCCTCCTTTATCCGGGCTTGGGACCGGCAGTAGCCACTGAAGGGACTCCAGGCGGAGTTAATATTCCGAATAACCTATGAGGAAAGCAATGCAGTGTGTCATACATGGATACTGGATATCGTAGACTAAAAAGATAGAACAAAGGGTGATGTCACTGAGATATAACCGGAGCAACTCTAAATGACTGGTTGCATTTATGGGTACATATGTAATGTTGAACTGATTTTTACCGTGGTATACCTCCATTATTTTGTTATCCATGTATGCTAGATCATCAAGATAGACGGTCACCTCAGACACATCAGATACTTTGACATATTATATTGTGGAGATTTTAGTCACATTTATGTACAGACTTCATCCATTTTAAATGTCCCCATTAATTACTTCATATACCTAAGTAGTTACAAATCTTTTCCACCATCTCATTTATTACGGTACTCTAGCACTCAGGTATCAATCTACTAATAGCTGTTTTGATCTCGTGTTCGATATCGGAATACTCTGAAGCACCGCTGTTTTTAGTTTGTCATGCACTGTTACTTTAAACATTCGGTTTACGAGGTCTTAGTGGCATTAGTTCCTAACCATATGATCCTTGAAACATTGGATACAATAACTGAGATGAACTACATTGAGAGTTGAACACTTCGATAAGGTCAGAAGATCTGAAAGAAGGAACACTTAAAAATGATGGAATGTCTCAGAGATGGAAGAATGGTCATCCTCTGTGACTTTTTTGTGCCTTAAGGTAACCCTCGTGCTATTGATAGAAGAAACCAGAGAAGTAGTGAATAGGTCTTTATTTCGATCTCAGCGCGGTAACAGTGGAGCGTCGGATTACCTGTTCAGACAAACAAAGGCTCTCAACATTCAATATAAGATAATAGGGAATATAACGCTTATACAAAACAAGGAAGTGAATGAATACTTGAACAGTACTGTTTTGGCATATGCTTGGTTGTTTGGGGTCAACTCTTAACCAACCAACCTAGGCTGTTACATTAGCTTCCCCCTAGAATCGACTTCCGTAGGAACGTCGGTTCGATTAACCTAACTATCGAAAACACCTTAGTTCTATTTCTCATCCCCAGGGAAAATTATCAACTCGCTCACTGTTTGACTTACAATCAGTGACGACTGACGCTGTCAACGATAGTCCATGGATGTCTCTTATTTACTAGCTTGTCATCTTATTTTGTAGCATGTGATTTCTTCTACAACTATCGCCGACGGTTTGCTGCGTGCATTCAAGAGAAAGTGTGAGAATGTGGAATAAGAATATCTGAGGAAGTGCCGCGTTTCTCAGGCCGAATGGCATGCGTACAAACTCGAATAAGCCAAAGGGTGTAGTAATAGCTGTCTTGGGAATATCTTCATCAGCCACTGGGATATTGTGATATGCCCTGACTAAATCAATTTTAGTGAATATTTTCATACCCTGTAAACCGTTGGTGAAATCTTGGATATGAGGTATTGGGTACCTATCAGGTACGGTTTGACGGTTTAGGGCTCTGTAATCCCCGCACGGTCGCCAGTCACCTTCATTCTTCTTTGGGACCATATGCAAAGGGGATGCCCATTGACTATCAGAGGGACGGATGATACCCAATTGTAGCATATAATCAAACTCGGCCCTAGCGATTTTGAGCTTATCTGGTGCTAGTCTCCTGGGTTTTGCAAACACCGGTGCACCTTCGGTTTTGATAGTGTGACTCACTTTTAGTTTGTCTTTGGAAGGCTGTGGGTTTGGTTTAGTTAAGTTTGGAAATTCCGCGAGTATATCTTGGAATTTCGCTGTTGTTACTGGAGGAGTTTGAATCAAGTTAGGAGAGCTGATGTGACTTCCTTTGACTTTTGGGTAATACGAAGTTTCTTTTAGTGTTAATCGCGGTTTCTTGGTGTCAACTAGAAATTCGTATCTCTTTAGAAAGTCCATTCCCAGTATTGCCAGATCTAAGTCGGCTACCGTGAAAACCCAAGGGAATTGCCTCCTGAACCCCAAATCTAGGGTCAAATTTTTCTGTCCAAATGTCGCAATTTTAGTTTTATTTGCAGCTTGAAGTGTAATTGATGATGTTTCTCGACCAATCTCAGTTTTATTTTGAGGGATGATGCTAAGAGCAGCGCCAGTATCCACCAAGAAATTCAAGCCCGAGTTTCTGTCTCTAACATAAAACAAGCGACTGTTTAGGCGCCCCTCCTCAGTCGTCGCGACCTGGGGAGGGGTTGCTCGTTTCCCGCTGACTTAGAATTATGCTTAGGCCAGGCGCATGGTTGCATGCACTTGGTTGAGTTGACACCAAACTTCCAGTGGTACCAACAAAACTGCCCAGATTGTCTGGACATTTGTGACCTGTTTTGTGACTTGGATCGTGGTCGTTGTGGTGACCTGCTCCTGTTTCTATGACCCATTTGCATTCTGGTGACAGCCTCAGTGAGACTCTTAACACTCGCAATGAGTCCTTCTATTACGGGGTCTTTTGCTGATTCTACTTTTTGTGTGTGATTTATTGTGCGTGATCCAGTTGGAGGACCTCTTTCCATTATTCTATCGGCCATATGCGCTAAATGAGATAATGAGGTTTCAGGATCTTGCGCATCCAAACAATGTTGGGCGTAGCATGGGAGAGCTTGTATCCATCCTTGTTTTAGGACTACTTCACCCACTGTGTTATCACACACTAAGACTTGGAGGTGACGTAAAAACTGTGACGGCGACCGATCACCTAGTGTTTCACCTTGAAAAAGTCTTTGGATTCTTTGACTATCCGATAATGATAAACGGTTCATTATCTCTCGTCTTAAGATGGTGTATGGTTGTGGTGATGGTGGACTTAAAATCAAGTCACGGACCTTCTTGGCGACTGAAGGAGGAAGGATAGAACACAAGTCTCTGTAGAGAATCCCTTCAGATTTGATATTGTGTTTCGTGAAATAGTGCTTTTGTTGAGCAAACCACAACTCAGGATCACTACGATCAAATTCTGAAAGTCGGGATTTCGTAGTCATAACATTGTCTATCTCCACTGATGACAAATCCTCCAGGTTTTGAGTTTGTATTGAGTCTGACATGAGGTATGTGACAAATATAACAATAAAGTTAGCACAAAAAGTGGTTACTATAACACGAATAACTTAAGATAATACGGAATAAACTAGTTATATACTCAAATTAGTTTACGGATAATCAGGTCTACTTTTACGATTAAGTAAAAAAAATGTTAATAACAGAAATGAGGTTAAATTTGTGTTCAAAAAAGGCTCACCACTTTCGTGCCTTAAGGTAATACTCGTGCTATTGATAGAAGAAACCAGAGAAATAGTGGATAGGTCTTTATTTCGATCTCAGCGCGGTAACAGTGGAGCGTCGGATTACCTGTTCAGACAAACAAAGGCTCTCAACATTCAATATAAGATAATAGGGAATATAACGCTTATACAAAACAAGGAAGTGAATGAATACTTGAACAGTACTGTTTTGGCATATGCTTGGTTGTTTGGGGTCAACTCTTAACCAACCAACCTAGGCTGTTACAACTTCTTCCTTTTTATTACGAATATTTTATTTTGTCCCTGGCCAAAATGTGTTCTTCAAAGGTTCATAAATAGTATGCTATTGACTACAGTGATAGAAAGATTCAGTATAGACAATGATGTGACTTCTGAGTAAGATCTTTTAGATAGGTTTTCATATCACGAGAAGTTCGCAGCATTATATTAGGCCTATTATTCTAGTAGTATGGATAAATATATTGATAGAAACCTAGACCTAAATCCAACAAGGTTCATGATCTCAACAGCTCTGTAACAAGTGAACCAACTTTGTGATCGTAACATATGGTTTGAGAAGATATGTTGAATACAAGGAAATGTTTTTTAACCTGAGAAGGCATATCGCCGAGTTAGTAAGCACCCAATTACCCAGCGTGAAACCTGGAATCCCGTTTACCGCAATTAATGTTCGGTCGTTACATGGATGTAGGTTAGGGGAGAGTCTTCTTGAACTGTGTTAAATATCCTAAGCTAACGGAAGCATTTGATAAAAGGCTGATAATAAAAGCAAAAATGCATGCATATGTACTGAAAATTAAAAATCTGCAATTTTATAGCCATAACAAAACCTTTCAACTTATATTAGTAAAGAGAAAAGGTAGATCTATCAAAAAATTATGATAGACTCAAAGTCAATAATACAAAAGATATGCAGGCTTTTATGAAAAGGTATTTGTAGACAGACTAAGAACAATTACACGACTCGTCTTTTGCGAGTATCTTCCTACTGAGTGTTTACAATGATCCATGATTAAGCATAGTTAATGTTTGAAAGATAATCCATGCACAAGGTGTATATGTATATGCTGACAACTGAATAAATATTAGTGTAAAAAAATGTTCCAAATGACAACTGTAATTTTATATTAGTAGGTGGGTCAGAAGCTGGAAAAATGAAAGAATATATTACGAGGAACTCAAAGTACAATAAGTAGCTTGCGTACATGATGAGCAAAAATCCATCTAAATCGAAATGTACTAGGAAATTTAGGCAACGACGTTAGGAATCTTTATAATCAATGAAGGTAGTTACACAAATTAAGTGGAACAATACGATGTGTTTTCCTATTTTTCAGATTCCTTAGGAAAACAGAAGGTGATTCATTCCTGTTGGTAACCACGATGCCCGACTTGCAACCCACAGAAAAATCTCAAACAACAAATGGTGATATATTACTTCAAAGCAAGTTCTGTTTATATCTGGCGATATTAATTGATCATAATATATTCCAAAATAGCCAATCTTTTCACAACTTTCATTCCTAAAAATACAGAAGTCTCAAGGTTTGTCTGCAGAGTTAGTTATTGTGAAGTGAACATTGTCCCTGAAAACGGTGACAATTTCGAACGAAGCGTCATCATGTAGTTATGGCAATTTCTACGGAAGACTCTCAGTACCACTCTTCTGAATTGATAAAAGACCTGAGAACATATAGACCAAAATACCCTATACCCAAAGAGCTAATAGATGTTCGTACCGAAGAGACATTTTGTGCATATTGTGGTGTCAGTTATCTTATACTGAACGAAATAAAGTTTCTTGAAGATAAATCCGAAAATTTGAGAAAAGAATTGGAACTTGTCAGACACAAACAAGGCTCCCATTCATCGACTCCTGGGGGCAATGTTGGCTTGCCATCAAATGGTGAACGACAAGTATCTGAAGAGTGAGTTAAACTGTTACCAAATTTGGATTTTAAGACCTATTTTATATGAATTGTGAAGTTATTTTACATTGTTACTTTGAATTTTTGACAGTGGTTGGATTGCGATCGTTCTAATGTTTGGTGGTTGAATTATGAATAATTACTATTAGTATTTGTAAATAGAGATATTTTTAGCAAGACTGGAATTTGTGGACAAACCGAACGGATTTTATTCAGTAAGTCTTGGATTTTGGCGCAAAACTCACTCATCTGTGTGGTTAAATAGCATTTCTAGATTATAACTGGTGACAGTTCATGGTAAAAAATCTTACTCTTATTTCTAGCCATAATGTCTAACTCGAAATCTTAATACTAATTCATCACATCAATTAAAAACCCTCCTTTGATTCTAGTTAGCATGCGAAAATTTTCAGTTTTACTTAGGCCTCTCTCAAAAGTCATTCATAAATTATAGTATCACCGAAATTTTGAACAAAATACAAAGACCATTATACATTATGAGTTCTTTTGCTTTATCTTTGTAAAATTTACACAAAACGTTTAGGTAGCTTCATTCAAAATTCACACTAATTTAGTCACTTCCTACTCAAAGTTGAGTGTTTTAGAGTTTTTTCTACAGACTACACGTTGATCTTCAAACAAATTCAAGTGCATTTGACGTTTATACATTTTTGTATGGTTCTGCTGGTTTTCAATCTAGCAAATTAAATAACCGCTCAGAAACCTAATCAGACCTCAGTTTCTTTGCAAATTTAATGAGGAAGTTTGTACTCGATCAGCTTGAAGATGCCACAGGTATTCGGAGTTTGACAACGCCTTAACCAGTAACGCCTTCTACTAAGAATCGTACCCACCGAGTGAAATCAAAAGACAGAAGCTAGTAGGTCCGAAGGTATATTTGATAGGCTATCAATATATCGAGGATAGACTGATCTAAACTAACTAGCGACCGAAGAGGATGTTGAGCACAACGTTCCCACTCGTGATCTGATGCGGATGCATGACAGAGCGTCTTCAGCTAGATGGGTCGATTAAAACTAATGTGGTCAGCATCCAGTGTTGAAGACTTACGGAGATATTTATTTCGGGGATCTTTTTAGCGCTAAAAGCTTTATCATTATTTGTTAAGAAACTAAAACTGAATTGATTTAATTAAACTGGACGTTAGTGATACTAATCATTTGTAAACGTTGCATTTAAAAGAATCACTTTGATTCCATGGTTAATAACTTGGAAAATGTCTAGTAAAATGAGTTTCTTTGATCTTACAGAATTGTGGACATACATAAAACTATTAAGATGACCATTACGAAGGAGGGAAAAGAGAATTATATAGGTGGTGATGAAAAGCGGCTGATATGCTTGATCATCCACGCGCAAGTAGTTGAATCCGTTAAAGTTAGTAAGATCAGTATCGTCATCTGATACCTATAAGGTCATTTATTCTAGATTATTATCTACCACTACACAACCAGAATATAGGATACTACACAATCTAAAACGTTTGTAGCAGATAAAAATACGAGTATTACTTCAAAAAACATTATTCTGAAAAGTTGAATAGATCTATGAAAATGTAGTCTTTGTTGATGGGAGGTGTGTTGGTTACTAATTAATAACGTTATAGTTTTGTAAGAGGTTTTATGTAATCATGTCTATCATTTCAGTTGTGAATAAATTCCAAAACGTCCATAAATATGATTGAAAAGTGTTTATAAGCTCAGAGACATAAATAAGCAATGTAATTGATTTTATAGAAACATCAACCATAACGAGGTAAAAACATATAGATAAACGCATTTTCAAGCTCTTAAATTCATGATACTACTTTGTCCTTTTTCTGGTGGTAAATTTCTCATAATAGTAAAACTGTGAAATGATTGTCCATCAATAACGAAGAGATCTGAAATTCAACTAGAATAAAAGAATGTGTAACTATAAAAAATTTGTGAATTCATAAAAGTTCCTCTTTGAATTTGAAAAAATGTTTTAATAAGTAGTTAGGCACTAAAATAAATCTTTGTTAAACGCGGTCTAATCTTGGAACCACTAAGCAGCACTAATCAAATAATGGATGAATAATTCTGGATCTGGTCAGAAGATTTTGGTATATCAATTTGGAATGGTTAAACAAGGTTTATTATCATTATATATAGATAGATGAGTTGACAAGGATGGATAAAGAGAATATAAGTTGTTTCCCAAGGTTCAAGTGTAAATGTAAACTAAAGTGTGCAAAAGCAATTTAAGGACTACTCAACTCACCAAAATAGTGAAATTATATGACGCCAAACACTACTTATTCAGTATTCTGTTGTAAGAATGTTAAATCACTTTCATAAATAACCAGATAAAACTGTGAAGTATAATTGACTAAAGTTGTTTTCCCCTATGCTTCCCGCTATTTGTAATCATTTTTGTTAAGATATCATGTTTTTTGACGTAAAATTGAAGTGATAGGAGCTAAAGGTTAACAAATCTAAGATTTGAAACTAATCGATATATTCATTTACTGTTGGTACAACTAATGTGAGATGATGGCGTTCATTCCGTGAAAAAAACAAGATGAAATATATTCACCGATTATTCAGTTTTATGAGTTAAATATGCAAAGAAATTAGTATTTTTTATTTGCTTGTCGTCTTTTTTGTTCTTTGTCTAAAGTGTTTTTTCATCGATCCTGTTTTATTTTATAATGTTAAATCAGTAATTTATATTAAATATGATAACTTGAACCAACATTTTACTGAATAAGACATTAAGTTACTATGGTCTCAACAGATTCACATCAACACGGACTGCCTTTTGACATATTAACAACGTAGATGAATAACGGTTATATTATAAAATTCCAACAGTTATCACTTTATAAATATTCATCATGGTGCCATTTAGATGAATGGAATTTCTTTCATCAGATTAGTAATATTGAAGCATGGAATATACGTCCAGTCAATATTTGAAGTCAAGTACTTGGATATTTTAAAAAAATGAGATCATGAACCAATTGTTGTTAAACCACCACTAAACCTGGAAGCACTAGGAGGCCATTTCGTCCTATTGTGGGACTCCTCGGCAGTCCGAATCCACGATCTCTCTCTCGGGATTCGAACTCAGGGTCTCCAGTCTCGCGCGCGAACGCTTAACCTAATGGACTATTGAGTCGGTATCCAATGGTGTTCATGTTTAACTTCAACTAATCCACGAAATTGCGCAACCACCTTCCACTGTACTGAAGTAGATACCTTTCTCGTGGATTGGTCGAGTTTCTGGGTTCGAATCCCACGAGCGAGATCGTGGATGTGCGCTTCTGAGGAGACCCGCAATAAACGAAGCGGCCGTCCAATGCCTCCAGATTTTCGATGGTGGTCTAACATCAGTTGGTTCATGATCTCAACTAAAAAAAGCTCGAGAACCCTTATATTGATACTTGGATATTTATCTGAATTTTGATAGTTAACATATTTTGTGATGTTTCAATGAGAAGAAAACTGTATTTTTGACATTTCATAACTTAATGTAAGCCACTTCTGAAGAAGTCATCAAACGTTCGAAATATAATTTTCTACTCATTGAGATATCCTAAAATATATTTATTGTTAACTTCCTACCCGATGGTTTATTTATTTTCAACTAAATTTTGATGTTTTTGTAATTTTCTTGATCTGGTTTTACTGATTACACTGCTTTTAGTAATATTTTCTACATAATTCATCTGATAATCCCTGTTCCTGTTACTATTATCGCTATTATTAATATTACAGTATTGAACGTCTATTAAATGAAAAAGCTGAAATCATCCAACAATTAGATGATGCGAATACAAAATTAATTTGTTACGAAGCTACTGAAAAACAATTTATCAGAGAACTTGCCAGAAGTCAGTAAGTCAGTTTGATTTATATTAATATCAAACAATTTAACTGTTTGTTATTTGAAAAGTGATGACATATATTGTATGAAGGCATAAATTTAGACAAACGATAAAAAGTCCCGAGCTTGTCGAAATATCTCTGTTTGAAGGCGTTTTGTACTTAATTACTTATTCACGCCTGTTACTCCTCGTGAAGGAGCGTAGGCCGCTCACCAGCATTCTTCATCCAACCCTGTCCTGGGCAATCCTTTCCAGCTCTTTCCAGTCGGTATTCATTCTTTTTCATATCTGCTTCTATTTCCCGACGTAATATGTTCTTTGGCCTTCCTCTTTTCCACTTCCCTTCAGGATTCCAAGTTAGGGCTTGCCTCATAATGCAGTTTGATGATTTACGTAATGTATGTCCTATCCAATTCCATTGTCATTTCCTAATTTCCTCTTCAGCAAAGGTGTTTTGTACTGATAGAATATTGACTGATATATTACGATCGACTGAGCATATTTCTAGAGATCATAAATTCATTTACTCGAAATGTTTCTAAAATGAAACTTGTAATAGAAGGTAATTAAGACTATATTGTTTGTTTGTTTTTCATAAGCATAGCAAGATAAACGCCATACATTCCCATGATAATTATTCTACATAAATTTGTCGTTATTCATTTTTAAATTACTATGAAGTAATTAATCATTAACAAAATCTGTGGAACGTGATATTTGGCTACAAAACTGAATTGATGTTTGTAAAATTGTGCGATCATTATCTCATGCATTTGTTGTGCCCTTTTACACTTTGGACTTAGATGGCTACCTCAGAAATTCCATTCCAAACTTAGTTATCCAAATTTAATTGATATTGTTCCAAATCGGTTGATGTGTCACTAACTCTTTCCTATTTTATATCACTTTAATTCTCTAAAAAAATGTTATATCCTAAATCTTTTACTTTTGCATTTATTATATCTTTTATCTCTTCATTATTGTTGATGTCATTTCGGTTTTGTCGATTAATTTCCCTTCCTTTTGTTGATGTTTTATTATCCTAACACAGTTATCAAAGGTTGTATGTTGTCAAAAAATACAAATATGACATTAAGGACCAATCCTTCAAAAATGTAGAATTAACGATTGTTAGATATACTAATAAACTGAACTGTGAATATTTACTCGATTTCCGGCAGTTCTTTCACGTATACCTTTTCATCCTACCTTTCCAAATCATATTCTCTATGTTTAGTCTTTCTCATTACTACTGTTGTTATATGATTTTGGTTCACTTGCTATTAATCTTTCCTAAACTTATATCTTTGTGTTATCTGTGTTATAACAACTTGGACCGATGCATATGTGTGTCAAGATCCACTCTGACTATGACTTGATATTGAAATTTAAACTGTTTAATTTGATAATCTATTTTTCGGATGATCTACTATCAGATAGAGTTTTTATATCGAAAGCATTTTTTTAAAATATAGAGCTGAGGTTTCATATACTCAAGAACAACTGATCGAGCTGTTTGATTATTCAAAGAGAGTACGAAATAAATTAAAAGAGAAACTATGCACTGACAGTCTACTTCGTCCAATATTTGATAGAATCAACAGTTTAAGAGATCATATTTCTACACTGAATCAGTTATGTAAGTCGTCAATCTTTTGTGTTGCTTATCCCTTACAAAGTAAAAGATTTACGATCTAATAACTGTGATTTTGAACGATAAACTAAAGAGTTTAACTCATATTCCGGCAATTTCCGTTAAACGTCGTAGTCAAAACAGTCCCCAGGAGTTAAAAAGTTTGAATGCATACAACAACCCAGAAATTTGATTGGTATTATGTTAGATTGTGTGTTGGAGTGCTACAGAGAGTGTTACTTCCATCAAGATTGCATCTACGCCTTGTTAGTAAGTGGTAATACGTACAAAACATATATCTAAGGCTTCCTTCAAACTTATGACTTATATCCATACATTAGTGAATATGATGGTAAATTACTTATTACTTATTATTCAATTCGACACCCCGATGGACAGAGTTCAATTCACACTATGAACTAGACAACCACAATACTGGTACATGTATATAAATTTCAGTAAACAAAAGTAATTATTTATCTAAACAGTGTTTAACAAAACTATTAATTTTATGAGTGATTTTTTAAGTAATAAATGAACAGTCATTCGGGGAAAAAGACTAAGCAACCAATGATTTTTCATCATTCCCTGTTGTGATATACATCACTATGTATGGGGTTACATTTAAATACAATTGCTCCATTACGAACTTTCTTTCAATCTTGTTTATTATTCAAATAATAAAAACACGAAGGGATCTCTTCTCAGCGAATTCATTATCAAGCTGTACAATCGTATATATATGAAAAAAATTTTTTTGCACTGATTCTTTGAGGAAATGTGATCACGAATAACTAAGATGACGTAATTATTTACTATTTATTTATTTGAACACATAAATATTGGTATAAGAGGGCACCAAATATGTATGCACCACACAAAAATCGAAGCGAGAATAGAGTTTTCAGTAAATACCATCATTTTTATCATCATTATATTTGTGTGTGGGCTGTGGTACTGCCCGGGTGCCCAAACTAAAGCAGGTGGTTATCTTATGCGGCCACACCCCGAGCCCTTGACCTAAAGGTCTGATCCACAAGGTAGTGGAGCATCGTGAGGAGATGCAGTCCCATGGTAGCCGGTGACCAACGATTGATTCGTACGCCATTTGTTCTCTCAAGATAGTGGAGCCCATGTGCACCATTGGTTTGAAATCCGGTTAAAGCGCCGGACATTCGCTTTGTCCTCTCATCTTCGTAGACAATACCCCCGCCACGAGAAGGCAGTGAGTAGGACTTCCCTGGCAGAGGCTGTATAGGCGTGGCCGTGTGAGAGCATTTCGAGAGAGAGAGAGCGGACTCTCCCAACTCTCGGCCGTACCAGGGCATTTGGGGGGCGTAATAGAAAGATTATAATACTAGTTTACGCAATACGAATAATAACAATAGATTTAGTGAATGTAATAAGATGATTAAAAATACTAGGACGAAACGGCCAGCTGTCCAGTGCTTCCAGGTTTTCCATGGTGATCTAGCTTCAATTGACTCATGATTTCAACCATTGAAATTACTATAATATCCACAAAACTCCTGATAAAATGTTTTTGTTCTAATAATTAAAGGTCATATAGGTGTAAAAATAAATAAGGTGATACGATGAGTATTCATGAGTAAAATAATGAGAATATAAGACATAAGTAGAGGGGAGTGCAGTAATAATAATAATTATTATTATAATAAAGGCCAAGGTAACGATAAAGATAAGACAATTTTGTACGCATAGTTCTGGTTTGCGCTCATGGATGGTAAGAGCTTCGGCTATTTTTAGGAGTTGGATACGAAAAAATCTAGGTAGATTTGAACGAATCATATAAACAACCGTAAAATCAAACTGTGGATGATTAGGTATTTACGTATAGATCTTCTAACTGCTTTCCTCTCACCCTTGTAGAATCAAACTGGGACATGTTCTCGTATCCGAGTTCAAATATTCAAATATTGAAAATCGCACCAAATGGTACAAGTGATCTTAACGAACACGAGTGACTTAAAGTAATAAATTTATGGGGGGGAAATTGGAATAAACAAATTAAATTAATTCTGTTTGAATGTTTATTATACTAATAATACATATCTATTTTAGATAATACTTCGCTTACACAATTGAATAATCAATATAACGAGATAACTAACAAACTTGATTTAGTTACCTTGGAAAAAGATTCAGCGATTAATAAGTTCAATGAATTAGAGTTAAAGTATAAAGAAGAACGTAATAATTGGTCAGAAAAACAAGGGGAACAATTGGGTGATATATTAGGTAATATTTTTTTTAAAAAATATTTTCATTAAAACAGGTTTGTGGTTGGGCAGTGATTATAGATAGAGATATTCACTTACATTGACGTATATTGTAAGGTATATTTGATTTTGATTTCACTTATTGACTTCTTTGTAATTGTTCCTTTCTAATGTAAGCGTCAATTACTCGGTAAAATAATTGAATGACTATGTTTATCACGTAAGTGTCATGATCGAGTATCTAATGTCATTTAGTTGAAATCTAGTTATAACAGAAGTACTCATTAAAGTCTGATTAGAATTGGTATGATAGTTAATTTAATTACACTGAGTTTATGAAGAGTTCATCAGTACCAGTTGGCTATCTGATTTGGTGTTTTAATCTTTGCAACTTATGTAGTCTTATCCTACACCAACAGAACCTTTCATTACTGTAATAAATTCGAAAAATCTACTATCTAAACAATTTTTAAACCAAAACATATCAAACAATCTAATACCGCATATGTCCCCAACATTCAATAGTACTATCTAAATAAAGCTAATCATACCTGTGAACTGAAATGAATTCTGTAGTTATTATTTTCAGAATATATGAATATTATTATCTTTTCTTGCTGTAGATCAATGAGTGATATTTATGGAGTGAATGCTTAGGGATTTTACTATTTCAATTCTATGTTTAATGCATAGATATCATCATAAGCTTGAAATGTAAATTGTATTATCAAAATCTTACAGCAAATGTGTTATTAAATGCTGAATTAATGTTCAATGCTAGACATTTTTAAGCGTTTCACAGCTCGTTTTTCCGATTTGATTAAAAAATATTTTTATTTAACAGTTGAGTTCATGAGCCAATTAAAGCTAGACCAACATGGAAAACCTGGAAGAACTGGACAGCCATTTCGTTCGACTATGGGACTCCTCAGCAGCTTTAATTGAATCATGAACTCAATGATTAAATTACTACAATCTCCACAAAAACCCCTTTCTGATAATAATCATCACATGCTCACTAGTGACTGGAGTTTTAGTAAGAAGCTGTGACCAGTGGAGTTCGACTGCTTCTGTTGTGAGATAGTAACTCAATGAAGACAATGGTAGACGGTGGCGGAATTTCGTGGATTAGTTGAAGTTAGATAATAACACCGTTGGATGCCGGTTGGCTCAGTAGTCTATAGGTTAAGCGCTTGCTCGCCAGACCGTAGATTGTAGGTTTTAATCCCAAGAGCGGGATCGTGAATGTGCCCTGCTGAAGAGTCTCGTGCTGGTATGAAATAACCGTCCAGTGCTTCCAGGTCTACAACTACAGAGGGTATTTTCAATTCAATCTTCCTTCATTTCTGAGTATTAATTATAAATATGGAAACTGGGACATATGTCCATTTGTTAAAGTTGGCCCATCATATCAGTTCAGCGATTTGAAACCTTCAAGGTGAATTCCAGAACAGTTTAAGTAGTGACAGTGTCACTGGCACTAAAAAATATTGAGCATAGATAATATGAATTGGGAAAAAAATATTGATTGCATGGCATTAAATGTACACTATAATTTTTGGACTCAACATCCCAGAAGAAATGAAGAACAAATGCTTAATTTGCAACCGTATTCTCACTGTAAGACTTCAGATTTTGATCCTTATTACTACGTGGTTTGATAGTTTTGATACTCGGTCATCCTTCTATTTGTTGAACAGAGTTACAGTCTGAGGTTATCTGTTGATGAGAAGTCTATCTGAGAAGTTTATTAATATCTTGAAGGCCCCATATACAAACATCTCGGGTAGAGTGAGGGCATAAACCATCTCTCTCTATTGTTTCATTTAAGCACTGGGTTAGGCAGGGTTGCCCAATCTCACCATTCCTTTTCAACTTAGCCATTGATGACCCTCTTAAAACAGCTCCAATGAAAGTAGGTGATGGTGTTGTGGATGTGCTACCTGGAGAAATGCTTCTCAACCTTAAGCATGTGGATGATATTTTCTTACTGTAGAATAATACTCATATTATGCAATCCGCGCTTAGTCACTTGACAACCAGTGTCCGTTGGTACAGCATATGCTTTGCGCTTTCTAAGTACAAAGTACTTTTACAAGACTGGCAGGACCCTGAACTTGCACTCACCCTGGGTAGTGAGCAGATAGGAGGATTTGAAAAGTTCTTTTATCTGGGTAGCTGCGTAAGTGCTGGTGGTTGCATGAGAGATGAAACCAATTCACTTATAGTGAAAGCCAGAGCAGCTTATGTCAATTTGGACCATCTTTGGCGCTTTCATGACGTTAATCTGGCTGCAAAAGTTTGGATTCACAACGCGTTAGTGAGCACAGTTTTGTCCCATTCTTGTGGAACCTGACCTCTGAGTTAAGGATGTTAGACAACTCACTGTGTTTGATCATCGTTGTCTCCGAATGATTGGTGACATCTAGTGGCGTCATCATTTTATTAATGTAGAAGTTTAGCAACGTGTTTTCTTATGTGACTCCTCAGCAGTGCACATCCACAATTCTGCACATGGGACTAAGACCCAAGACCTTCGGTCTCACTTATATCGACACGTGAATTCAACTGCGAAAATACTACAATCTCTACAAATCCCCATACAAATATTTTTGTGTTTAAGTAAATAAAATAAATGAAATTAGACCAATCCCCATTGTCGTTATTAAATTGGGTGGATTATAGAAAGTAGTTCAGTGCAATGATGGTTTTTTCACAAGCTGATATTGTTTTAGCACCATTGTATTTCTTAAAACATGTATAATATGTTTATCTTTTTTCATAATCCATTTAGACGATACAGTCATATTCATTTGTATCTTCATGTTGATGTTTTAGTCGCTTTAGTAATTATGGTCCTAAGCCATTTCTTAGATTGCATCAACTTTAGATGATTTAGGAAGCTATAAGACATTTCCGAATTTATTTTTAAGTTAATTTCTTTGTTTATCTGTCCTTATTTTGGATGAATTGATTGAAGGTATAGATATTGTTTATTTCAATAGAAAGTTCCGAAGATTTAAAACTTATTAAAGGAAAATATACTCTGTGAAAATATAATTCATTTGTGCCTATGAAACTGTCCTGATATTCACCACCAATTTTTCTAATCTACCTGGAACAATGAAAGAATGCTTCACATTCACAATTAGACTTGCTAATTGCACAGTAGAAAAATTGATCCCGGAAGCTTATGTGCTAAGATCTCATTTGTCATTAAAATAAGTTTCCTGAGAATTTTTTTCCTATCATAGTTCTCATTAATACAGTGTAAAGATTGGTTAACAAGTTCTTTCCTTACTCTGACAAAAGCTTTGTGTAACTCTCATACTGTTCTAAAATCTTTAACGTCGTTGAATGTCAGTGAATTAGGATACTGAAGTCACAATTCATTATAAAATTATTTGCTATTTTGAAAAGTAACCAAGGTGTGATATATTTCATAAACTTTGAAGTTATTATCACCTGCTTATCTGATTTTCACAAACTTCCAAGCATCTCTTAGACCAGTGAAACAGTATTTGGATCAGTTTTAAGGCTATGCTTATCTTGTCTTATGTATAAAGTTATCGAATAACTAAGCATACAACTATTAATGATATTCAATACCTCATCGACATATCAAATGGATTGTTATGGATTTGGTAATCGTCCATCTGGTATACCGCTTTATACTTGTTCCTAAAATGGATTTTCAAAGTTGATCACTACTCTTTTTTTACACTTATAAACAAAGTAATCATTAATTCACTTGAACGAATTCTTGATGATCTTCATACTCTATAGTCTAAAAATCGTTCGAACATGAGACATTTTATTGAATATTTCCATGAATTCAATTCTGCTGTTCATAAGATTTGTTCAGTCTTCTTTTGTGAAAATCGACGATTGAATGATTGTTCATTAAATTTTTCTTATTTCTAAAATTACTCTATGCCATGAAGAATTTTCAAATAAATCCTGGTAGGATCTTTCCTGTCTACAGGTACTGTTTTAATCAGATCTCAAAAGATGATTAATTAAAGAATTTAATATCAGAAGGGGTTTTTGTGGACATTATAGCAATTTCAATAGTTGAAATCATGAATCAATGAAAGCTAGTACACTATAAAGAACCTGGGAGCACTGCACGGCGGTTTTGTTCTATTGTTGGACTCCTCAGAAGTGCGCATCCACGATCCCGACTCATGAGATTCGAACCATAGGACTTGTCGGTTTCGTGCGCGAGCTCTTAACCTCTAGACTACTGAGCCATCCGGCATCCAACGGTGTTCATGTTTAACTTCAACTGATCCACGAAATTGAGCGACACATCCATTATTGTTTTCAATGAATGACTGCCTCACAACAGACCCGGTTGAACTCCACTGGTTACGGCTTGTCACTAGAATGAAAGTATTTTCTAGAATCTTTTGAAAATTTTCTTTTTCTTCCAGTAATCGTTATTCTTCTTCTTATTTTTTCTTAAAATGTTCCAGTATTAAAAACTAAATTAAAAGAAGAAACTAAACGTTTGGATACTTTACATGATGAGAAAAGACAATTAATATTGAATTTTGAGTGGGTATTTCAAAATAATCTATGAATGTTACCTTTTTCATATTGATTTCTTATATTTATCAGTTGAACATTGATTATGCCTCGGTGAACTAAATAATTATTGATTAAATTATTTATTGAATATTTTTGTATTCACAATACTGATAGAAACTATCTATTAAATTTACTACTGGTCTGTATTAGTGCACAAAATCTCTTTTGAAATTAACTCAATATTTTTATAAGCAAATATGGATGGTGGTTAGCAATGGAATCCAGGGCGCGCGTTTCGTCCTATTTGAGACTCGTCATCTAGATGTACCTGAATCGCACAGTTGATGTTCACTCCTGGACTCAAACCTAGTACCGTCCTGGATTCCACTGTTAGCCACTATCCATCTTTGCTTAAAAATCTTGTGACTTCAGGCAATATTGAGGCAGTTCGCACAAGATACACATATGCTAACAAGAGGCTGATCAATTGTAATCCTAAATAACGATGGGAAGATGCAAGTAAACAACACCAAATGAATAAATCAATACTTGATTATATGAAAACTACCTAGTTCTTTGATGTCTCATAGACTACTTATTCTACTCAGTAGTATGTATTATACTTCATGAATATTTTTAAACAGACAAAGAATAAACGGTCTAAAAGAAGAAAACCAATCATTTGCTCATGAAAATAGAAGTTTAAAAGAGAAAATTTCAAGGTAAGGATTTTGAAAAAACCCATTAGGTTTTGGGTTGTTTTTTGGTTGCCGGTTCTATTTCTATTCTGAGATAGGACTAGATTCAAACCAAAGATATTCATTTTTCAAAAAACAATGTTTTGTATTGATGACTAAATCTTGAGTAACATTAACCAAGAATAGTAAAACTTGGAGTGCCATGTGGATTGATTACTTGGTATTAAAAAGGAAGATAATATCGAGTCAATTTATTCTTTATTTTCCACTTTGGTTCAGCTTTTACAAAGTATTTATTAACAGTTTAGGGAAACTATGGTGAAACTGTACAACACTTCCAAGTTGTGGCTGCTTCGAAAATTACCTTGAATTTTTTTTTTACTTTTGAGCATCGAGATTATTCATATTTAAGATTTAATCAATCCTAAACAAATTTGGGTCTAAATTCACAGTCCAAAAATGGAAGACCGATAAGGACTAGTAAATCACTGTCTAAGCATACAACTACAATGCTCAGTTCGGCAGTTAGTGACTTCATGTACATGTGCAAAACATTATTCTGGTAACAGATGTGTTTTACTATTCAGCTCATACCTCAATCATTGTGAAATAATGAAATAAATAAAAGTGACGTTGTTTTCCACCTAATGGCTCATTTTTTTATGTTACTATACTTTTAACACCGGATTCTTTTTCACTTGGTGATCTCATCATATATGAACAACATTTCAGAAGTATGTACAATCAAAGACTGATTCATTTTTTACTCGTAAAGTAATACTCATCTTTATATCAGTAGTTGGCTGATTTACAGCAGATTTAAGTTGGCAAAAGTCAAATGGGATCAAAATCATTTGAAACCAAATTTGCAAACCACTTTATATCTAGTAATTATCTAAATATTAGTTTCTAATTGAATATGAATAAAGTCCAATGATTTTAACAAAGTGATAAATCTGACTATTCAAAATCGCTAATTGTACTGTTTGGTATAATAAATTGGTCATTCATATCGTTCAGTTTTAAAGGAATATTGTGATGAACGAGAACACAATTGGGAACAATCGAACGTATTTAAATACAAAACTACAGAACATCTTAGTAAAATCTGAGAACCATACAGTAAATAGTTAATTTGCAAAATATTAGTCAACTGTCTCAAACTTGCAGATGTCAACCAATCGTCTCAGACTTCATTGTTCTCATTCTCTTTTCTTCAATCTTCTTAACTTACTGCTGCCAAATATTTCAATTTCAATTGAAGCTACATACTACTTATATCTATCGACATCAATCGCATACATCACAATATCATCAAACAAGAAAAATTCCATTAGATTAAACTGTAACATGGAGTGATCTATATAATTTTCAATTTTCAAGCCTACCGTTTATCAATTGTTTTAATATTGCATTATATTTATGATATATAATTTTAAATTACAGTTTAACTGAACAACTAGATAATCAGTTACAGAAATATGATCTTACTGAAAGCAACTATAAAGAAAGAGAACAATGTTTACTAAACAAGATGACCAATATTTCTGAAGAATTAACTAGGATCAAAAGTAAATCATTCATATTAAAATGAATTTATGATATAATTCAGTGACGAGATTATAATTTATGAACGAACCAATAAGGTATAAGATTACACGTCTTGGATTTTGGCGCGAAATTCATTCATTCATTTGGTTAAATAGAGTTCTGACATTATAACTGATGTCAGTTCGTGATAAAAACCATAAATTTAATTTCTTACCCTAACCATCAACTGTAAATCATAATGATAGTTCCTCATATAGGTTTATAATCCACATTTGGTTTTAGTTATTAAGTGGACACTCCCAAGGTCAGTCTAGCATTGCTCAAAGATCGTCCATAAAATATAGTCTCACCAATTCAGTTACTTGGTAAAGTTACACTTGATTGTAAGTGATGGAGTTTGAGCCAACATTCCGTTGATCGTAGGTTGAATATCTAATATATTAAGTCAATCGCATTAGAGAAATTGATTACACATGATGAACAGTTTAAAAGGTTAAATAAACTTGTTTAGTTTGTTAAATATCTTCATCATAACCGTAAATCAATTTAAAATAATTTTTGAGAAGTCACTTAGAAACAGAGAGTTTCTTTACGCAATATTTAATGGACGACATTTGAGAGAAACTAAAGGGACCTCAAGGGTGTATGTCTAATTACTAGGGCTAAATGACAGTTATAAATCTGTGAGCAATTCGAATTACGATTTACAGTTGATGGTTAAGGTTAGGAATTAGATTTGATGTTTTCATCACGAACTGGTATAAGCTATAAGGCCAGAACTCTACATATCCAAATGGATGAATATATTTCGCGCCAAAATTCAAGACCAGTTATCGTATACCTGGTCTGTCCGTCCATGAATTATAATCTCACCGACTTTCTAGTTTTTGGCAGTTCTTTGGCTGACGTGCGTTTGAAAGCATACTACTTTGCTAAAAAGAACTTAGTGAGCCTATTTCTGTTTAGCTTCTGTGGATGCGCACTGTTGAGGAGTTCCATACTAGGACGAAACGGCCGTCCAATGCTTCCAGGTTTTCCATGGTGGTCTAGCTTCAACTGACTCATGATTTCAACTAGTGAAACTTATAAAATCTCCACAAAACCCCTTCTCATAATAATCAACAACTCACTTGTGACTGACTTCAAGAGATGCTCCTGGAGTTTTAGTGAGAAGCCGTGACCAGTGGAGTTCAACCAGGTCTCTTGTGAGATATCAGCTCACTGTAGACATTGGTGAATGTGTCGCTCAATTTCATGGATTAGCTGAAGTCAGACATTAACACCGTTGGATACCGGCCGGCCCATTGATCTAGTGGTTAAGCGCTCGCGCACGAGACTGATAGGTCCCGGGTTCGAACCTCATGTGGCGAGACCCTGGATGTTCATTGATGAAGAGTCGCACAATAGAACGAAATGGCCATCTAGTGCTTTCAGGTTTTCCATGGTGTTCTAGCTTCAATTGGCTCATGAATTCAACTGGTGAATTTTATTTGTCTGTATGCATGATAGACGTAATACAACAGTGTATGAACATGTACATAGTTTACTCCTAATTTTAAGTGTGTATTATTTGAATAATACTTAACGTTTGAATTTTATCTAGAAATGAATGATCAGTTGAATTCAGCATTGGAGACTAGTAAACAAGAGATATTTGAGTTAGAGACCATCAAGTAAATTACTCTATTTTTTCAAAATGGATTTTCAATTTTTTTTTACAATTATTTAACACACTTTTTAAAGTTGACTTTTACCCAAAACTAATATCAACTGACGAAACATCATGAAGAATTAGATCAACATTTCGCCTTTGTTTAGTACTGAAGAGTGTGCACTGATATATATACATGGAGCTGAAATCGGCTCTAAACTTCCAGTCTTATGGTAACTGAAAAAACGTAGACGTTTATGACTAACTCAAAAGTAGATATATGTAAACTGTTTTAACTTCAAGTTTACTAGCTGATAATTCCTCAATATTTACGGTTTGTTTCCACAATTAAACGAACTTCGTTGATGATACTCATCACAGGAAAGTTATGACAAGTTCAACTTTCTGTATGTCATCATAGTGTAACTTAAACAATATTTCGATAGCTCTATTGTGATACACTACCACCAAACTCTGATCAAAACATCATCTACTTTTACTTACTGTTCTTACCCCTTGTGGAGGGGCATAGGTCGCCCACCAATACTCTGCATCCAACCCTGTTCTGGGCTGTACTTTTCAGTTGCTATTTATCCTTTTCATATCTGCTTCTATTTCCCGACATAATGTGTTCCTTGGTCTTCCTCTTTTTTATTTCCCTTCACGATTTCAAGTTAGCTCCTGCTTCGTGATGCAGTTTGATTATTTCCGTAATGTATATTTTACCAACCTCCAACAAATTTTCCTAATTTCCTCAGCTGGAAGCTGATTTATTCTCTCCCACAGTAGGTTGTTGCTGATGGCATCCGGTCAACGGACATTGAGTATCTTACGTATACAACTGTTTATAAATCCTTTTTTTCTTTTTTGATGTTGGTTGTAGTATTTCTCCAAGTTTCATCTCCATACAGTAGAAATGTCTATACATTCTTATTGAAGATTGTGACTTCGATATTGTTTGACAGTTGCTTTGAATTCCAGTTATTCTTCCAATCCTTACCTTTACATCTGCATCAGATCCTCTTTGTTCATCGATGATGCGGCTGACCAGGTACGTGAAAGTTTCCACCTCTTCCAGAGTTTCTCAATCAAGTGTGACCAGGATGGTGTTCTCTGTGTTGTATTCAGGGATGTACATGTTGAAGCCTACTGACGCAGAGTCTGCTGTTGCTACACTAGTTGTCTTCATCTGGATTTAATCGTGTGTATGGGATAGAGAGAACAGGTCATCTGTGAAGTCCGAATCGTCTAGTTATCGTCTAGCTGTCCACTGTATTCCGAGCTTGCTGTCAAATGTCAGAGTTTTTATAATCCAGTCAACCACCAGAAGAAAATGAAAGGGAGAGAGTAAACAGTCTTGTTTGACTCCGGTCTTCACTTGGAATGCATCTGTTAACTGTCCTATATTCACAACTTTACAGTCTATTCCTTCGTATGAATTCCATATGATATTGACGATTTTCTCAGGTACACCATAGTTTCTAAAACGGTTCCATAAGGTTCTCTTATCCACACTATCAAACACCTCATTATCAAAGAAGTCGATGTATAAAGACGAATTCTATTCAACTACTTGTTCAACAGTGATCCATAGTGTTGGGATTTGGTTTGTGCACGACCGATACATACGGACTCTGACCTGTCAACTATCCAAATTTACACAAGTAATATTCTAGAAAGAAAGTGTTTGCAAAATGACATCTGTTCACAGGAATTTCAAACAGTCAGTGGAAAATTCAATTTCACTAGATTAACCAAGTTTGTCCGCATGAAATCTGTTTTTATTTACTTTGTTTATTAATATGATGATCAGTTCAGCACTTAATACTTTGTAAGTTAAAACTTTTAATTAGAGGTTAAGTCTATCATTTTGCTGAAAATAGAAATTAGTCAGAGCCTTAAATGTTCAATTTCAATTTCTTAGGGTTACTAAGTGATAATTTTAAATTTCCCAGCGAAATATTGATTCTCTTAAAATAGTGCAACAAAATAGGTATGTATAAGACTTTCTGCTAATCACCTTCAATTATATAACTCTAAACAGTTAATTTATTCATGTTATTTATTTGAACACATAAATACTGGTACAGGGGGGCACCAGATACATATTTGGTTTGTGTGAGGGCTGTGATACTGCCCGGGTGCCCAAACCGAAGCAGGTGGTTTTCTTAGGGGGCCACACTCGGAGCCTTCAACCTACAGGTCTGATCAACAAGACAATGAAGCATCGTAAAGAGATGCAGTCTGATGGTAGCCGGTGACCAACGACTGATTCATACACCATTTATTCCCTCAGGATACTGGAGCCCATGTGCACCATTGGTTTGAAATCAGGCTTTTTCAACTCCCCTAGGTGAACTTTCCATGTCCACCAACCCGGTTAAGGCGACAGATATTTGCTTTTCATCCTCTCAATTCCGTAAACAACACCCTCGCCACGAGAATTCAGTAAGTAGGACTTCCCTGACAGAGGCTATATACGCGTGGCCATGTGAGAGCATTTGGAAAAAGAGAGAGCGGACTCTCTCCACTTAATGTCGTACAAGGGCATTTATCTGTATAATATGATTCCATATAATTTTATCAAAGCACTCTGTTTGTTTTGTGTTTGACGATATAGTCGCTAACATTCAATCTTTGAAAATCAACTATTCAGATTCATATTTATAAATAACCTAATGATTAAGAATCAATTGTGACTCTCTTTTTATTCTAATTTCAATCTCACAATCACCTAAATGAATATGTATTTTTGTCAATTTCTTTGTTATTTATAATTCAATTAAACAGTTATTTCTCTTACAAAATAATAACGTTTTCTTTTTTACAGATTTTAATGATAATTATTCCTTGTCTTTTTTTGTATTTTGTACATCAAGAGATTCACAAAATGAAATACATCGGCAATTGGAAATTAAACTTCAAGAAATGGAAAAAGAACTCAATGCTCAACAGTATAATAAAGTAAACTAATATATTTATTAGTATAGTGAGATTTATAGAAGTTGTAGTCTCTCTCTAGCCTAAATCGCGAACTGATCATTGTCGGACTATCATTGGAAACCAAGAACTACTGGAAAGCTGATTCATTCCAGTATGAGACTCTTCAACAACGGGATCTATGATCCCACTACAAAGGATCGAATATATGATCTCCGTTATTGGCTGCGAATGTTTAACCTTTAGGCCACTGAACCGGCATATGTTTTCTTATATAATTTTATTTTAATATTCAGTATTGACTTAATATTTATCCTTATATTTGAGGTTTACCAGTACGAGAAAAGCAGTGTGATGATACTGATAAGTCTTGCAAATTGGACGCTATATTCGTTCCCTAGGCTATTCTGTAACCCCCAAGCTAGAACTATACAGCGACCTGAACACGAAAGAAAAGGCTCAAAATATGTGAGAAGTACTTTACTCCAGGGTTCATTTTAACACAGAAAATATAGGGTTTTTATAACATTTTAAAAAGTCCTTGGGTTGCTCGTAGACTCTGGTATGCTACTAAACATAGTAGCAGTATAGCAATAAGCCAATCAGAACCTCTACACGTGATGTTTCACTTCTTTGATATTTTTGGCTAAAACCTCAAGCGGACGCTGATTGAATGAAACACTTCTTAGTGTTTCCTGATCTTTGCTTGTCTTTTGCAAGAAATTTTCTGGATCACTCCAACAGATACTTATAAAATTCGAGTAGAACATAGCTATTTTTTTATATTTTAGCGAATTCATAAATAGTTATCCTTTGAGAAAAAATATAAGTGACGTGTGTGCAATAGATTTCAAGGCATTTGTTGAAATTTGTTAAACGCATATTAATAATATTGACTTTGATTACTTCTAATTTTTCGAAGATCCAACTATAGACTTGAAGTAGGTGAAGCAAAACTCCATTCTGATAATACTTAAAATCTTCTGGAAATCTCGAATACAAACAAGAAACTTTGAGACTTACTTATTATCTGGCAAATACAGGTTAAATTTTTCGGAACCAACCTATTTTGATATTCACTTTAATGAATAGTTGTCAATGTAGTTAACTGTATTGACCAATTAGTTTGTTTAAATAACTCCTGACACTACTGTAGGCAACGAAACATCAGCAGAGATACAAACAAATTCGATGTGCATTTGTCATCTCATACCGTCTTTAGTAGGGATTAGAAATTCAAGTCAAATATCGATTATACCACCGAATAGTTTGTTGTATTCGGTTGCGCGACTGAACATCGTATGTTTGCTTTCGAATTATGCTCATCTGCAATAAAACTATCTAGACATGAAGTTCCTCAGTAAATAATTAAGTCCTTTGACAAATTTATAAACATGGGTCAAATAACGAAGTGACCTAGATATTTACAATTCGTAATCTCTTTAGATCATCGGGCTGAAATTTTCCTAGTTTTCACTTTCTAGTTCCTTGTGATAAAACGCAATCCAATGTTTGACATAATCGTTTAGTCATTCTCATGTTTCCTATTTGGTTGATATCACTGGTAACGATTTTTTACTGGAAATATATCTGGGAGATAATCGCTGTTTGATGCATTGGGTGGTGTCTAGTGTTTCATTTAATTTATAATTCTGATAATGGAATGAGAAGATGGAGTTTATCAAGTTACGATGACTGACTATGTACCAAAATAGCTTCAAAAAACAAATAAGGTTAAAAGACCCAATAAAAGCAGTTAACAAATAACCATTTTCAATTATCAATCCCAGTTAAAAGCAGTAATTGGAGTGATCTAAATCCAACCAGTTATTTTATCTATCGATAGGTAGAATTCGATCAGTAGCCTGAATAACCCAATGGTACATATAACTTTGGACTTTGAAACTAGATGACTTAAGTTTGTATCCACAAGGGACAACCCATTTCCACAAAATTACTTCTACGCCATGCTGACAAGTTCTAACTACCAAGAAATTTATGTCAAGAAGATTTTCTGATGAGTTCCTTCAGCTACTTAACACCAAACCAAACGTTTTAGAAAGATTATCCAACTGAATTGTTTTGTTTTGTTTTGGAATTGTTATAGGAGTTGACATTAGAGAAAGAATTCAAATTATCATTGGAGAAAAAAGAACTGGAATTGCAACAAATTAAAAGTCAAACAAATCGAAAAATTGAACAACTGACATCAGAACTTAAACAAAAAGGTTGGTGGTTTTATTAAATTTTTTTAACAATATTTGCAGTTTAATGAGGTACAATAAAACGGTTATTTTCAGAGAGATATAATTCCTAATTATACATTTTCATGTTTGTAATAGTATGACCAACATTTTCCCAGTTATATTCAATTCAATGAAAGATCGAGTTCGTATGGATCACTTTATACTTGTTTTGATAATAATTATGTGTTAAGATTTATAACTGAAGTGGATGCATTTCATTGTATTGAGAATGTAGTTTGAGCTCAGTAGTTTAACTACAAAGTATTCATTATCATTTTTCTGCATGATGATGTCGTTCAGAATAAAATAGAAGCTTCTTAATTAAACTAACGAACTCAGGCAACACAATACAGTTAATGATGATATGTATTTTGTAGTGGACAACTGTCTACTTAAACACATAAATTTAGGTAAAAATGAAGACCAAAATAAGTATACACCGAACAAAAAGAAAATGAGATTATGAAGAAGTAGAGAAAGGAGAAGAGGCATTATCAAGTAAATAAATGAGTAGAAATAAGTGAACGAGAATATATTATAATCCTAAACAAATACAACCAGGAATTCTTTTAGCTAAAGAACTTAGTTTCACTTTTATAATGAATATAAATACAGACGACAACAGGATTCTCATTGGTTTCTATAATGAGCCATGTTTGATAATATTTAGTCGTAAATAATAACTTCTACTATTTATGAAACTATGATTTCCACATAACTTTCAATAGTGTTGCGAATTAACTTTGTCATACAGGTGCTAAATGATTGTAAAGGCCTAAAGTAGAAGAGGAACAGTATTATTCTAGTGTTTAGATTGTTTCGGATCAAGTCGTGTTTAAACTCATAAGAAAACCATAGCCAAACAAGGGGTTGACAACTTTGGACCTCACGCTACCTATTTCAATCTGAACAATATCTCTAGCCGTTGCACAGTAAAATTGACTCTATTGATTCGCTACAAATTTCTTTTAGGTAGTTTGAACAAATAGTAATGGTATATTTACGTATATAAATCATTAGCAACCTAAAATTCCGGTAATCATCTAACGGACTGTCATTTGTTAATGCGATAAAAATTATTTCTGGATGTTCCTAAATTTTCAAAACTACTTTGTGTTTGAGATTGGTTATATCAAGGAATATACAGAATTGATGATAACATAGTTTTTATATGATGTAGGCAGAGTAAAAGTCATCTTGAGATTATTCCATGTTTAAAAGATTGGGTTTATTACTGAACACTGAAAAATAGAAAGCTATGTATCGTTGCTTATTGCTAACTAAAAAACTCTTCAACAATTAATATTGTGTAAACTAGATATTTATAACCATCAAAGTGTGAAACACAAATAGGCGTGATTATAATTTATGCATAAATCTTGGATTTTGGCGCGAAATTCATCCATCTTTTTGGTTAATTAGGACTTTGGCATTTTAGCTGATGCGAACCTTAAATCTAATTCCTAATCTTAACCATCAACAGTAAATCATAATCCTAATTCCTCACATTGGTTTATAACTCTCATTTAGTCCTAGTAAGTAGGTGTACATCCCCAAGTTCATTTTAGCATCACTCGAAGGTAGTCCATAAATTGGTCTGATCCAAAAATCTAACTAGTTTCAAGTTATGTATGGCCAATCATGCTGTAATTAGGAATGAATTGCTTTGCTTTTTAGTGAACATTCGTAGGGTCAGTTCCAGTCCACAGTGAGATCTTATTAGTTGACAATTCAAACGCTTAACTTTACGCAGGAAATATTTGCTTGTTTCAAATAACTACTCTTATTGCTACTTAGAATACTAATAGTAATAACACGTACGAGTGTTTTTCCCTTATCAAAATTCATTTTATTTTTTTAATCTTTAAGAAAGAGAAAACATTGTTTTACAAGAAGAACATCGTCGTATTATGGAAACGATGAAAGAGGAAATTAACCAATTGACTAATAGCGTGAACAATTCGGATTCCGTTCGAGGAGAACTTGAAAATCAAATCCAAAAATATCAACAAGAAGTTAGGAACCTCGTCTTTAGTATTTTTTTATTAATTAAGATAATCGCAGGTGAAGTTGCACAGTCAGGAATTTATTCTAAAGGTTGTTTCGTACCGCATATTATTTAAGAACTAAAACGAAAAATTAGTAAGTGGATCTAATTTGATTTCCGGACATAGTCAGCAGGAATCTCTGAAGCTAGATTTTACGCTAGATAGCAGTCATTAACAAGATGTAATTGAAATCTTGACGAAACTTAGGTTGGTCGCTGCACAAATATATCAGTAGTAACGTCTCAAACGGTGAAGCTGGGTAGTGTAGATCTGAATCCTATAGGGAAAACCACTTCTATTAGCACTGCATACAACGACTGTTGACGAGTCCAAAGCAGCACGAAGCCTACTCCTAAAGTTTTCCACCGACCTAATATAAAAGACTAGGAAAACATTTTATTGGTCACCACTGTGATTATAAATGCTTGAAGTTTATCCTAAGATTCCTCACTATAAACAACGAACGAGTTATGGGTGAATGATTCTGAAGAGTACTACAATCAAAAGATAAACTATCTTATTTTAAGTATGAATAAATGTCCTTTGTGTAGTTTACGATTCTTCCATTGTTAGAGAAATATTACTCAAAGAATTATTTATTTTTATGTAAATTTGACATAAAACATCGTAGTTTGCAGACACTTGGTAATTCACATGAGATTAGTCAGTCTCATCAACTAGTTTCAGTTACACCATTTAATCAGTCTCACTGAATATCACTAAAAGTTGATTGTTATGAAATATAATCAAGACACATACAGCATTGATCATGTAGTTTCACTAATGTCTTTTTCATCTTCATTTAATTAAAACAAAAAATAATCTCCAAAATTTACACTTGATTCGAATTACTTTAGGCGTTTGATTGTCTAAGGAGTTAGCTAGGATATTAGACTCATATGTTCTTCAGAAACTATCTAATCTTTGTTATCGTCTTGAATTATAGGGTCTAGTACATCTGAATGTGATACTGAGGGTATGTTGGAACTAGAGTTTGATGAGTAATAGTGTACGTTGCCAATGTCGTCTCGTTCCACCACAATAATTGATTTTATTGACAATTTATAATATTAGGACTAGCAAACAAGATGATTTAGTTTAACAGTGCACTGCGAAGTGTAAAACCTAACTAAGGAAGTTTGAAGACTTTTGCCAAGCCCTCAGTCCAATTCTTCTTAGTGAACAAGTACAGATCCGTGTATACGACCTACGTTACACACTAAAGTAGTGTGATAAAACCCGGCTGGGCGGGCCGGAGTTAGTTGAATGAGTATCCCATTTAAAACCAGTGTTTAGAGCTTAGGTCTTTCCGACATCAGTCAAATATACTCTGACACCAACGTGTATTACTCAGCTTGACGGCTATGCTGGATAAATTCTCGTCAGTAGAGTTATATCGATTGTCGCTATTTTGATTATCTAGACATTTATCAGTTAGACTATCTGTAGAATGTTAATAACTGATCACCGTCTTTCTAGGTTAAACAACTTTACGCTACAGTTGAAAAAGAATGTTGGGAGAGAGATGAATTAAACTCTGTATTGGCTGAAACAAGGGATCAGTTAATGAAACTAAGTAATTCCTCAAAGGAATCTGAATCAGATCAGAGACAATCTAATTTGCATGAAAACCAAGAAGATAGCCATTTATTACCACCAATATCTTCATCGTCGGTAAAGTCTGAACAGTTTACCAAACGTACTCTTCCAAAAAGTTCGAAGACTTCTAATTCTAATAATGGTATGGCAAGGCGTTCTTTCCAAAACTTTAAGTAAGAATTTCAAGACGAAATTACTCAGTAACATAATTTATATTGGACAGACTGTTGGATGAATCACATAAAAACTGCTCTTTGTATCTGTAAACCATGGATTACTCATTTATCGTCAATATCAAAACCATATGCTCTACTTAGTTAATACTGGTTATAATTTGAATCATGAACAAATATCATATCAATACTTAGCTTGAGACTTTGGTAGTATACTCTACAGTTGGTACATGTGTGTGTGAGTTCGAATTCTCCCTTTAAGATAAACGGATCGTTATCAAGAAAGATGGTTCATCTAAAGTTATTAGTTTGTTAGATAATTTACACTATAGATTTTTACTCATGGGTCGCTACAATTGTTTTACTTCAAAAATCATAACATGGGAATGGTAGTTTAGTATTTTTGTAGCGTTAAATCAATAGGCAGCAAACTGTTTCACATGTCCTATTTTGAACGAATGTGCAGTACCACAAATCGACTGAAATCGTAACATCAAGAATATTTATGTTGCACGTTAGCAAACAGTTCATCGAGAGTATTAGGTTCTATGTACTTGACTATAAATACATACAATAATGAAGGATTGGTGCTTCGTGAAGGATTTTCTTTTAGATGTACCAGGCTTGAAATTATTATGACTAACGATACTACCAAACTACGCAAGATAAAACACTAAAGGTTATACTCAGACAGAAGTCATTAATTTTCTCATCTTTTACTGTGAATTTAAGATTAACATTCTACTTCACAGACCACAGCAAAAATCCCAGGAAATCTAACTTGGAGCTGGGCCCTAGTAAGAGTAAGATCACTGATGAGTTAGATAGCTTAATATGAACTAAAGTGCATATTACTAAACTTTAAAACATCCTCTAGTTATAAATTCCTCGTCAAATGGTATCAATTTATATTTTAATTGCTCGTCTATAATCAGTTTGAGAAACGTATTATCTAGATATTTCGTTTGTTGTATCTGTATTTAAAAGGAATATAAAAGATACTTCTGGATTGGCTGCTACACGAAGACAAATTGCTGCCATTATCTCCGCAACAAAGTTCCGAAGTCAATGACTTAAAAGTAAACTAAGCTGTAGATGAGATTTTTAAAATGGCGTTATTACTTACATATTTTTTTCTTTAAATCTAAAATAGTTTAATGTACTCTTAGTCTTCACTACAATGACATCTTACATAAATAGGTGGTTACAAGCGAGGTAGGGAATTTTTAAATAAATGAAGTTGCTTTAAGACATTCCACACTTCGTCGAAAACCGATTGTAGTTCAAGTATGTGTCTTATGGAGGTGCCAACGTAGGGTAGATACAGTGAAAATACGTGGTTGTTAGTTGGAGCCAAATAAAGGACATGTGACTTAATCACTGTGATTACATTTGTTCGATATTAAGACCAAAGATTTATATTTACATTACAAATGTACTTAATAAGTTGCTGATAAAAAGGGGTGACTAAACAAAACGATAACTCATCACTTACTAAGATCAAATGTACTGTTTGAACATGGTGTACTTTGACAATAATTGTCCAACCTGTATTCCAGCAAAGGAACCATTTCCACGATGCTGTATGGGGATGTAACTCACATGCATTGTCAGAAATATTGATACATGACTGACACCAACACTTAGTGACGCTAGTTTTGGACCAATGACCTAGTGGTTTGATGTCTGTTGCGAAAAATACATTTCCCATTGGGACCACGAAGCGATTCAACATAGAGATGCTCTACTATCGAGTGCTGTATATAACCTCATCAGTCGTGTGCTTCACAGAGTGCTTATTTTATTCAAATAGCATTAGTACTGGTAGATTGGAGGCGACCACAGAGCTAACCGATGAGTCACACACTTAGGCTAAAGCAAGAGCGAACATTCCTGAGATTCACAACCGCGTGTTATCCACGAATAGATGGAATCGCTAGTACAGTAGCTATCCGTTTTCAAAATCAAAACAGTCCGAAATTACACTGGGATGTTTGAACAAGCTTCTGTTTCCTGTAGGATTTGACAACTGTATGGACGTTCAATGATTCGACGTGATCACATGCTGCAGATAGACGACCGTAAACATCTGAAGTTCAAGTAACGGATTTACTAGGATCCTATCGGAAGTATTTTAAGGAGAAAAGAATTCCTATAGCGAGGAATGTGACTTAGACGTCCCATTTTGTGGAGAGTTGTAATTTGACACACTTGATTTTAGATCGAGTTTTACCGTCTTTAATTTCTAACTAGTGACGTACCATATTAATACAACACTTTCAAGTATATCTAATGATTAGCAAGATCGGAAACTATGTACGATCACCTTGATCTAAAGCCGTAGCTAAAATGTTTATCATAGCATTATTTTTGTATCGTATGACATGTGATCGGCACGGGTCCAAAAATGACCATTTGAGACACATCTATTCAAGGGTAGGTAGAATGTTACACAAGGACCAATGTTTCATTACTCCGTGAAACCGAACAGATGCATTCCATAGGAAAAAGTGGACATCCATGTGCTTCCCCATCGATTTCGTTTCTAAGAGAAAAAAACTTTTTCTTTTAACGCTTTGTCATCATCGCGTACTTCGCGCCCAATAAATTTTAAGCAATCACTGCTTTGTTCTGGTGTTGAAAAAGCAACTCTTGGCATTATGCTTAAAACACCATTATCCCCAACAAACTTTCAGTTAACTATGTACATTAATATATGGTTAGGATTCCGACGAACTCGTGCTACGCAATTTAGTGAACAGTTAATAAATAAACCCATTAGGTGAAGCTGAAAAGCCTTTCATACCACATGATGATTTTATTTTATTCCTTGTCGGATTTTGAAGTAATTGTGCGGGTACCACGAATACGTCCAGTTCGTCTAGCAGCTATTAGACCAACCTTGCGACCATGTGATGCATCACGGCGAATCGTAGATGGTTTACCTATATGTTGATGATTACCACCACCGTGAGGATGCTCGACAGGCTGTCAACAGTAAGAAAGTGCAGATATTTGACATACTTGTATAACAAACTGAGATTATGAAAATGTTAAACACGTGGAAGTACACATAAAAGATTCATAGTAAAATTAAGTATGATCAAATTGCCAATGTATTTAACACCTTGTTCACCTAACCGAGTCGACTGATGATTGCGTGTCACTTAAAAACAGCCTTCCAATAGTTGTAAAAATAATAGATCATTGCATTCTAACACGTTAGATTCGCATATGACAAGTAGAGCATGACAGTACGTTAGTACTATTTACGTATTATTCAGCTAGATATCGAGTATTTCGAAAATGAAGGCTGAGCTAATTGGGATATTTTAATATTTTAACCCCTACTTGTTACACTTCAAATCTTTGTACACAACTAGTATGCTGGCTACTTGCCGCTGCCATATCTTCACACTGTGTTGACGGCAAAATCTTAGATCACGCTTTTTATAAAAAACCAAATGAAAGCGTCTGCAGTAAAATGAGTGAGATATTTTATGAAGTAACGTGATTGACAACGATGTATTAGCAGTTATTAACTGTTCATGACCATATTAAAGGTTCTGCGTTCGTTGAGACTTTAAACAAGATTACTTACAATAGGCTACCTAAAACTTCGGAACTCAGTTACTCGAAGTTAATGGGGACTTATGTCGTTACTTAGATTTTGCAAGCTTCTTGCAAACAAATCTTGAGATTTACTAATGTTTTTAATGCGATTACAGAAAACTGCTTCTTGGATGATGAAATGTTATGGATTGTATTCTTAATTTACGTAGGAAAGCTCAGTCACTCACGTAGAACCTGATAAGTTTGCACTAGAGTTAAGGTTGTTACACCCATGAAAATGTTAGGCCAAACCTCAGACTATTAGAGGTGGTGACAGTATCAGTGATGATAAGAAAGATTTGGGGTCAGAAATTCAAATAAATAGAAACACCAAAGTGGGATAATTGTACGTAGATATCAAGATTGTTGACTAGTGTCCGAGTTTGTTCACTTGAAGTTTATCAAACAGAATAATTCATCAGCATGCACCAACACTAATTAGAGGCACAATATAGACGCTCAGTTTCTACTGTTAAACAAAGTTGTGGAAAAAGCTAACCAAGCGAGAATTGACATTTATGGCGACTGTACTTTAAGCATGTCAATCTTAATTGCCCGGACTTGAAATCTGACGTCAATGTAGCGTCGCAAAATCCAGGAGCAAAACCTGAGGATGTTTCGAGCATAAACACAATTATCAAGGTTGCAATATTACTAAAGAAACTTACGTTCATGGCAACACCTCTGACTGTGGGCCAACAATGTCTTTTAGCTTTATACTTATGATAGGCTCGACCTGCTTTTAAAATGGGCTTGTCTACCCGACCACCGCCAGCAACAAGACCTACCATGGCACGGCAAGTCGATGGCAAAACTTTTTTTGCACCTGATGGTAGTTTGACACGAGTTCGTTTAGTGTCGGGATTGTGAGCGACAACAGTGGCGTAATTCCCGCTTGCACGAGCTAACCTCCCACGATCACCACACTTCTCCTCCAGATTGCAAACCACGGTTCCTTCAGGCATTGCACCTATTGGGAGGATGTTGCCAATCTGATGTTAATAGTAAAATACAACAACCCTACCTGAAGTTTGGCTTTTTTACCACAGTACACGAACTGTCCAGTATGCAAGCCTTCCGCCGCGATAAATGTTTGCTTGATCAACTTGTATGAATATACATCTCTGAAGGACACTTTGGCTAACGGAGCCCCACGACCCGGATCATGAATTATTTCTTTAACGACACCGCGAATATAACCATGTCGTTCAGCGAAATCGTTTGGACGCAACTTAGCAGCTCCTTTACGATGTTTGGTATGCGCTTTGAAAACACCTCCGGCACCCTTACGCTGGCTTCGAATAACCCTTCCCATCTAGAGCGTTCAGTAACTTACAAGGACAGAGAACCTACCTCCACGCCAAAATCAAACTAACCGCGTACAGAAGTACGCAAAGTTAACAATGCTATTAATTGTGTCCAATATCGATCAAAAACAGAGTTCGAGCTATTCATACAGTAGTTATATAAGATATATAGACCAGACATTTCTTTCTTAGAATCGGTTTTGTTCTTAAAGGAAGACAATTGCAACAGTAATGAGACCAATGGTAAACTGGCTCTTCCAAGAACATCAATTCGTATGTCATAATAATATTCGTGAATGATACAAGTTTTTCAGTACTTCCCTGCCGTAGAAACTAGTTTCAGATATGATGTTATGTGTTGCTTGATAGTGTTAACGTTGGACAAATATCATAATGTTTGTAGTGTACTTTCTTGAGCTTCATCTTTGACCGGTAGTTCCAGCCAACGATTTTACTTTGGTGTATGATGCTGAAATAAGTGGGGTAATTCACAGAAATTGAGTCTTTTGTTTGATCATTCAAATACAGGGAAAAAGAAGGCGTCCAGATATGCTCCTCCATGTTTTTTCAATAAAAGTCTAAGTTGAGGCTTCCTAATAACATTCAAGTGGACTAATTAGCGGTAACTAAAATGAGTGGCTATTTGATTCACTCACCATAGCTCGAGGTTGCATCATCAGCGTACTCTAGTTAATCATGTAGGCAAATTTATCAGTAATTTTATGCTTGAGTTGGTACACAGTCACTTAACAAGTAAACTGTGTCTCAGGATGAGTTGGTTTCTTGCTATGTAAGAAGGAATAACAACACAATCTAAATGTTTTTCCCACTGTCCCTAAAGTCAGAGTCACTCTCAGATTGGTGCAATTCAAAGTTCTTATAGGAAATCTCTCATTAACCTTATAAAATACTGGCAAATTATCTGCATTTCATACAGCATGTGTCTAGACATACTAAAAGTTATGTATGTAGTGATAAGTAAACCTCAAAAAAATCCCATAAGTCTTGGGGATTAATCCTGAGCTTACTATTTTTGCTAAGTACATCCTGTCTGATGGTGTCCTTACCAAATCACTATCATGTACGTTGTTCCACTCATCTCATACAACAAATTAAAGTGATTGTTAAAACTTACTTAATTTGTAATTAGTTTTTGCTATTATTTACATTTTTCATTAATTCTCATAACTTGTAGTTCAACAACTACTTACTAACAGTCTCATCTTGACCTTCTAGCATGGGTTTCCTGGGTCCATATTATGCCATACATACCTAGTAGACTACCTGGATGATATAACCCTGAAACGGAACAACGAACTCTCTGTATAAGTCCTATCCTTAGACTTTAAGAAAGCCTTTGATTACGCCATACACGAAAGGCTTCTTGTCCAAACAAAGTCCTACTATAATCACGATTTGCTCCGTTCTTAACAGAACTTAAACAAATGGTAAAGATAACTGTCTCTCGTCAACCAAACCAATAATCAGAGGTCATCCATGGAAGTATATTAGGTCTACTCTTGTTTCTTATGTATATAAGCGATATATGTAAACTATATATGTAACACGATAACATTTTGGAGACCATACGTATACGCTGATGATCTCAAAATATTATACAGCTTTAAGCCTAGGGCTCTAAGTGGAAGTGTATCCCAGATTCTAAGTGGCCTCAATAACCAAACTATCTGGGGTGAAAAATGGTAATTGCCACTCTACCTCAACAAGTGTAGGGTCGTGTATTTTTGAAGACAGCCCCCTGATTTAAAATTTACTTCAATAAAAGTAGAGTTCAAACAGTCGAATCAGTGCACGATCTACACATGAAGCTCAAACTTTGACGAACATGTCACCTCTATTGTTTCTGTATATAGATGGATGATTGGTTTCATCATAAAGGCTTTCTTTAGAACAGAGGCTAAGCTTACTCTTGACAAAATGTGTGTACGATCCCCCCTTGAGTACTGCTCTTTTATCTTCCCAGATACGAATACCACATACAAGATAAGAGTAGATGTTCAAAGACGCTTCGCACTCCAACTGCTAGGATGTTTCTCCACTCTCGATTACACAGATATATGTAAGCACCTCACTTTAGGACCTTTATGACACCGTAGGCTAAGGAACAATCTAATATTTCTCTACAAAGCAATATATGGACTCACATTATTAACCTCCTACCCAACCATGATCCATGACCCAGTCTACATACTCAGAAACAACTCATATACACCGCTTACAGTAAAACACCGGAAATCATTGCGTTGTAAGTTCTTTACAGTACGGTATAGCTTTTATGGAATAGATTGCTAATACCTATCCGTAACTGTGACACTACCACCAAGTTTAAAAGACAAATAACACTATTACTTGACACTAAAGAGCTTCATCAACAATTTCCTGAACTTCCACCAGCTAACGAGGCACTTGATTATGAACCGCCTAATATCTAAAACGATCATGAACAAAACGGTCTCCAATTGTCATCAATGTAAATATAACTAAAATGATAGAACACATGGTTTGCCCCTTCCAATTATTAATTGATTATTCGTTATGCCCTTCTATTCCCACCCCTCACTTTCAGATTCCAAATTTCTCTAATGGTTAAAATTAAATTATACTTCCTAAGTGTCATGTCCTTTTTTCTGCTACAAGTAAACATATAACTTACTAATCTCATGAATGATGATCACCTATAACTAATCATAAGAAGCTCATAATGTCCTAAATACTTGTGAGTCGCTCAATGTTTGTTTTATTACTCCAACATTTGTACAATTCTAGACTCCTATATATTCTTTGACTTGCTATCTATCCTTACCATCTGTAAACAACATATTATCTGACTCGTGATTTCTTAACTTTTGCCATCATTTATTTTCATGGCAGTGCATATGTAGTGGCCCAAACCACACAATCCTTAAAGCTGAACACGAGACAACTGGGAAATAGATATTAAATATTTGACGCGGCGAAAAACACAGTGATGGGGAACGCGGGACGAAGGAATGGTGTGAATTCGAAATGATCGTACGGCATGGCTCGGCGTTGCATGCATGGTCAACTTTAAGTGTTGTAACGTAATCTTTAATTCATATTAAATATATTGTTCTATATCTAGCCCAAGTATTTTCTAAACCATATATTGGTGATTGTTACGATGCAGTGGGTTGATGTAGACGATGATATGACTTCCACGTAAGATCTTATAGATTAGGCATTTATATCATGACAGATCCACAAGTTTAGGATTAGGTCTATTTTCAGGGTAGTCCTAACATCATAGTAGACCATAATTCCACATATATACTAACTGGATATCTAACCCATAAAAAAAAGCTTCAGCTATCTGATTTGCTTGTGCAACGGAACTAGTAGAAATAGTTTATTCCAATAAGGTGCGCAACATGGTGCTTAGATCGAAGTAATATTCATGTATACCACAAACGTAAAACAGCTTAACATCACAAGAGGAGGGAATGGGGCGTTACCGACCGCCAAACATGATAATCGGGAGATAACTTCAATTTATCCATGTGTAGTATTATGATCTACTATGATATTAGTACTGCTCTAATAATAGACCTAATCCTAAATTTGTAGATTTGTCATGATATAACTGCCTAATCTATAAGATCTTACGTGGAAGTCACACCATCGACTACACCAACTCACTGTATCGTATCAATTACCAATACATGATGTAGAACAAGGTTAGGCTAGAGGAAGAACAATATATTTAATATGAATAGAAGATATAAGGTAACATTCAGCAGAGACCACGCCTGCATGGCCGAGTCATGCCACTCGATCAACCCCAGTAGATTCAACTCATTATTCACGCCTTCTCCATCGTTAGGTATTTCTCCGCGTTAAATATTGAATATCTATTTTCTGAGCAGTCTCGTGTTCACAGCTTTGTGGATTGTGTGGCTATTGTCTAATGCCACTACACTACTCTCCCACCAGAATCAACGTGATGTTGGTTCGATACCGAATTGGATGGGATCGTCGCGCGCCGGAGGTTACCAAGAATAATAAGAATCCTCCGGGTATTGGTAAGCTGAAAGATAAATCAAAAAGAAAGCGGCAGCATCTGGTCGGGAAATACATGTAATAATCTTAAAATATCTGCCTTCATGATTAACACGCTTAAAATGAAAATTTGGTTGAAGATTATTTGAACTATAAAAAATGGGATTACAATAATAATAATAAAACGATGCGTGTTAATAACTTAACTTATAGGCAGTAATTATTTTGTGTTTAGAAATAATAAAATAATCAATATTATAGAAATGTTAGTACTGGTATTAGTTTTGGTTTAAATTATGAAATCAATTTACATTTATGCCGGTAACCTGTCCATATGTGATTTCCAATTGCATCTGTATTAGTAGGCTAATAGAAGGAACAAAAGTATATCGTGGAGAAGAATTCCAACTAGTGTTCCAGTTAGTTTGATACGGTTTATTTAGTTACGTGGAGATTTTCTCAACCTCATTTTTACTTGACCGTGATAGAATTTAGTAATACTACTAATACACATGAATGGTTATCAAAACAAAATTTAAATACGGGAGTGATAATTATATGAATTTTGGACAGATAGCTAGGAACAAATCGTTAAACATGAGTGTATTCGTAAGAGACATGCTCTAGACTCAATGTTCTGATCTGCGATAGACTATTTATACATATTTATACTTGCCGGCTGATTGGGCATACAAGTTAGTTGCACGTGTGCAGTTTATCATTGGGCAGAATACGATTTAAATGAGATATGGTGATTATAAGTTACTGAAATCAGTTAAGCCTGTGTCACATTACTGAGTGATGTGGTGCTGTAAGATGTACTCGGCCAAATACGTTTTTACAAGATGATTAACCGTGAGTGATGCTCATGTGATTATCAGGAAGTACATAAGTTGTAACCAAGGGGAGTACACTCCCAACTCATGTCTATGATAATGGCTTGAACCTTAGTCAGTGTTGGGGTAAATTCGACATTGATGTTTTCAGTTTGCAGGAGATTTGCTCGACTGCTTATATTGATTATTTGCATGCATGATTGTGTCGCTAAACCTCCAATTAG